TGGACAGAGCTGGGCTATAAGAGTTGAAGATCTGGGGAAAAGGGGAAGATTTAGAAACCTAGGAAATAGTGAAGATAAAAAACCATGAGACTATACACATAGGAATAAGAACATAGAAACAGAATATAAGGATAGAAAATTTATAGATTAAATAATAATTAGATAGAAAATAGTTATAGATAATAGTAAGATAGTTTATATTTTGTACAATAAAATAGTGTTGTGTGGAAAAGCAAAATTCTGTCTTGTACTATATTAAGAAAAACCCAAACACACACAAACCCAGCTATACTAAATGCTACAGGATACACCCAGCTGTAAGAATATACTTCTGGTTGCATATAGAGCAGTACAGGTAGTCCTCCTCTAGTAAACTGTTGCTAAGTAAGCCCAGAGAGACTCTGCAAAGATGCTGGTTGCTGCTGTCTCATTCAGATAAAGTTCTCTCATACAGTGTGCTGTGCCTGACCCATTTTCCTCCTCCTTTTCTCCTCTCCCAGTGTGGAGAGAGGGCTTACACAAGCTATCTCTTCTAAGCTGCTTTTCTCCCCAGCAGCAGCAATTTAACAAGCTTGTCTCTGTGACCTTAATTAGTTGATTAGAACCCTCCTCCCAGCTTGCAGCAACTGCCTGAAACTGACCAGACATTAATCAGTTTCACACTGAAGGCTTTTGTTGTCCTAAATGCACCCATTGGTCTGAAAATGAATTATTACCATTGTCTTTGCCAATGGTTTCTATCCAAGGTAGTTGCTAAACAAGAACTGCCTGTATTCAAGATCTCTTAGCGCATGGAAAGGTGCATGATAACAAAGTGCAAGTGTGCAAAGAACACTGCAGCCCCAAGCATAAGACAAATACTTTTGTGGTAAATGGACTATTTGCAAAACCTACTTTTCAATTTAAGCAGTTCTATGAATTCTGGTGACACTAGGACCTCTGCTTTAAGGGGACTTTTTTTCAACCTGTGCTTCTCAAGGATTTATCTATACTATTCAGTATCTCTGTAAATTACTGCATGTTAGGCATAACATCCATGGCCATTAGAGCACACAAAGGCGAGCCCTGGAATTGCATTAAAACAGTCTTCAACTCCCTGAGTAAAGGATTATTTAGTGCAGGGGAATATGATGTAGGAGATAAAACCCTGCTGCACTGAGAAGGTTAAATGTGAAGATGGCAACTTCAAAGAACTCTTAAGAAGAGAATGTCATCACATGCTTTAAAAACACAGACCACCTTTGAAGTGAATGGGGAGATTGAGTGGCATCATATGTTGTAATTGAAACAGAGCCAGTTTTCTTTCTCTGTCATTTTTGTCTTGAGGTGGAATTGGTATATGTAGTTTAAGTACTACTGGTACATATGCTGTGTGTTATAATGGTGTTGCTCTGAATACAGTTGTTTTGGCCTAAATAAATACTAAACAAGTTTTGTCATTGCGTTATCAGAAGCATGTGCAGGAATTCACATTTGCCATATGTTCACTGCTATTTCCATAAAGGGAAGTCACAAACCCCTAAAGAAGAAAATAAAATATGTCTGGCTTGGCTGGATCTCCTTTGTGATTTCTATAGTAGTTTTGGCATTCCATTTCATTTGAACTTTCCTGTGGATCAGATATTCAGACTTGATCTCATGTCTCTGTATATGGGCTTAAATGATTTATTTTTGAGAAAAGCATGAGAGAAAGGCACAGCAGAAAGCAACTGTCTACAGGTAGTCCATGGGTTAAGAATGCCTGGGGTACAGATGACCCATAATTGAGAACGGAGCCTATTGTAGCAAAATGTAAGTTAAATACACAATGACTAGAGTTAAATACACAACGGTTCGAATTTATTACACAATACTATTTATACAGTATTATATAATAATACTGTTCCGGCTTACATACAAATTTGACTTAAGGACAGATCTTGGGAACGGAACTCGTTCTTAAAGTGGGGATTATCTGTATTTCATTTTATGTAATTTGAAGTTTTAGCTTTCCCCTCTTTAACAAAAGAGCTATTTTTAAAAGTTCCTCTACATGTCCTCAGTGCACTTCTCTGCTTGGAAGCCAGATGGATCTCAGCTGAGGCTTCCCTGAAGTCTTTCATGTAGAAGTTTGACTTAAATTTGCCCTCATGGAAGGATCGTTGGCCTCCAAAATCCTTAAAGATAATTGTTATCTTCCTGGAAGGAAGGGACAGATGCACATCCTAGGTGCTGAAGCTCCTCAGCCCAGTGCTTGCTCTTGCTGGTTTTGAGAAGAAAACAGCAGCTCTGGGATGTGCGTCAAAAATGGCAAGAAGGCATATGGAGCATCACAGCGCTAGCTCTGCCAGTTTTGGGTGTGTTTTAGGCCAAACAACAAAGCAATTTCATCCAAGCACTCTGTTCAGACATTTGATTCGTAATAGTAGAGAAGGTAAGTATCACTCAACTCAGTAAAGATGTACTGTTAGCATCAGTTTTCAGCAGACATTATTAAACATATATTTGGAACCACAAATGTTTTAAAAGCTGTTCAGATGCCAGATCATATGCAAAGCTCAGGCTTTTTGACATGCCTGCAAAAATGCAAACAACATTTTTATATCTTGCCTATTCTTCATCATGGAACCAAGGCAGAATACATGAGGGTCTTATGCAATCTTCCATCCAGGCTCTGATGGCACCAAAACTCATTAGCTCCCTGAAAGTGGTGGTAGCATGTGCCCTCAAACCAGTCCCAAAATACTTCAATGGAATGAAGTGGGAGAGTTCTCTAAGATTCCATGTAAAGCAGCCTAGCATAGATCAATTTATATTTAGCAGCTTAAAGTGCAGCGCTAGCAATTTCTTTGGACAAACAGGATCTGCCAGACATTCCCTCTCTAGTAAAACAGGCTTCATCTGCTGATTGACCTAAATTCTGTGAAAGCATCCAGTGACAATGTTGGTTGTGCATATTTCTCCATGTGGAAGAAGCTAGTTATTTTCTCTCTATACTTAGGACGTGGTTGCTGCGAATGGAATCTAGAAGCTGCGTTTCTAGGCAGAAGAATCTTGCGGTGGGAAGACATACGTGCTACAGTCTTATAAGGCTTTCAATAAAAGTGAACAAATGAAGAAATGGCTATCGCTCATTCCTATTTCTCAAATTAAAATCTTACAAAACATAATGCTTCATGATGCAGAGTAGATTTTGCGAAAACGCTGCACTATTTTAACTTGTTCTAATAGCTACACCTCTGCTATTTAGGACACACCACCATCCAATGGGAGGAAATAATTTTTTTAAAGGAGTGAAGAGACATGTATATCTGATCTTTATAGACAGACTCCTGATTATATGTCCTGAGACGCTTTCATTAGGCATTCAGTAAGTAGGTATGTTCTGAAAGAAACATTTGTTGTGAACTTTGAGACTGAATGTTCTGGACACTTCTAAAATATGGGCATTTTAATGCTGAAGTGGCAATTATGCTCCTGTCCTCTGCAAACAGAAAATGTTACTTCCTGGAAATTATTTCCATATAAAATATTAATTGCTGAGTAAAACAAAACTTGAATTCGTTGCTTGCCTTCCTTTCTGTGATATTGTTCTGCCATTCACTTAAAATTCATCATACTCTGGTTTATTTTTGTATACAATGGAACATCAGTCCACACAGTTTTATGGGGATTCTATAGTCCAACCCATCTGGGGGGCACCAGCTGAAAGAAAGCTACAAATACATCAACCCAAGACTTTATTTCCCCCATATAAAAAATCCATTTATGTTTTATGCAGCAGAATGTCTCTATGAGAGTTGTATATCTATTACAAATATTATTCTCATTATTTTTTCTTCTATCCAAGAACCTCTTGGCAGAATTAATGTGTCCTATATTGGTAAATAGAACCTACCAGGAAACAGAACAGGACACGAATTAAAAAGCAGGCAAATAACTTACCCAGAAAGTGTTATAAAAACAAGAGAACCATTGCATGGATATATGAAAAACAACATTTAATCCAGAACTGCAAAATAATTGCTTTTATATGTTAACTATTTTATAGTTTTATTGTACACTGGCCAGAGCGGCTTTTTCTTGAGATGGGTGGCCATATAAATTTGATGAATAAATAAATAAATTCCTGGAAGTGACCAATTTTCCCCAGGAGCAGCTTTTGCAAATAGTATCAGAAAGTTGTCATCCATGAAGAATTTTCTGAATTTGAATCAAATTATACAAACAGTAGTCTAGCACGTCACATTTGAGATTCTATTTCAGAAAGTCCATTTCAAAAGAGCATGCTAAGTTGTCCAAACTATTATTTTTCCATTTTTCATCTGCATCTCTGAAGCTGCACTTTCATTTGATACGAAGCTCCCAGTTATTACCAATGTTTAAGGAAAGTTTTTGAAGTGTCAACACAGAGTTTTTGGTATCATATGCGAAAGCCACTGCCTTGTCGTCTTTTCCATCTGAATTGCAATTAAAGAAATACACATAAACATTTATTTAAAATAAACCATGTATATTAATGTTGTCATATGTCTGTTCAAAACAAAATTCTAGTCCAGTCTTCTGTTCTGAAGCAAATGCATCCAGAGTGAGCAACTGTTAGGACTAATTCTGATTTCCACTTTAGGACAATGCCTTTGTAGGCTTTTGAGATACATTGGTGAAATATGCTAAACTGAGCAACTACTAGTATCCAAGCACTCCTTCTAAACTGCTCTGCAAAACAACTCAGCCCTCCACTTCTAATGAGTGAAGCAAAGCTTCTGAGCTGCTCCAACAACCTGCTGCTTCCTCCAAGTTACTAGGAATGCCAGACTGGGCCACTGGAGTGACGCAAAATGCTCTGACAAGGTGAATCACATCATCCTGGA